GTGGATTGTCTGAGCCCGCGGGTTCGAGACCTGCCTGGGCAGCAAGACCTCATCTCTACAGCAAATCAAAAAATCAGCTGGGCATGGTAGCGCATGCCTGTAATTCCAGCTACTTGGAAGGCTTAGGTGGAAGGATCGCTGGAGCCCAGCAGGCTGAGGCTGCGGTGGCCGGGAGTAGCCACTGCACTCCAGTCTGGGCCACAGAGTGAGACTCCAACTCAAAAAAAAAAAAGCATGGTTAAAACTTGTTAATAGCTTAAAGGTACCTTATAAATAAATATAATATCTTCATTTTCTTTTCCAGCACTTAAGGTTTTAATGTAACAAATAAACCCTTTCCAAATATTGACCGTAGTTTTGCTAAATTAATATGATGAAGCTGAAACGTTCTCCTCTGTTCCAGTACTAGCAGATTTTAACTTTAAATCAGCAGTCTAAGCAACTGTTCAACTACACACTGGGTTATAAGACTATTGCTCTAATGGAAATTTTAAACAAGCTCCTAAAATACCAATGTGCTCAGATTCTCAGTATAAAAATGGTATTACTATGGTTTTGATGCTCTTAAACCTCCTAATACTTAGCTGTAAATATTGCTGGGTTTGAAAGATGTGGCCCCACTAGGAAGGCAAGTCTCTCAGGTGGTTTCTGGGCAGAATGAGGCGTCAGAGCCTTTGACTTGAGAGGAAGGCATAGAGACCAGCTCCTCATACAAGCCCTGCATGGGGCAGGGACGCTGGGGAACTGAGAGAGATCCCCTCCAGCTGAATGGCTTCCCTGGCCTCAGTGTTCACGGAGGAGTCCAAGCTCGCATGGCAGCTTCCGCTCCAGCAATTACTGACTCTAAGGCCTGGGTGTGTCCTCTGCTCAGCTTGGGGTGTGGAAGCAACTGGCAGTTTGGGGGCTGCTGTAAAAATGCAGAGAGAGATGGGGGAGGCAGCTGAGCATGACACTGAAGCACCCTAACGCCGCCTGGCATCCCAGCACCTTGGTCCTCCAATAACTACCTGGTACCCCAACACTGCCTAATACCCCAGCACCTCCAGCACCCCAACTCTACCCCTGGCACCCCAACACACTCACCCAGCACCTCCCAGCACCACTTGGCACCCCAACAAAAGCTCAGCACAGCCTGGCACTCCAATACCACCCTGCACCCCAATACACCCAGCACCCCCATCTGGCACCCCAACACATTCACCCAGACTGCCCGGCATTCCAACATGCTCCCCAAGCTCCCCACCCTGCTGGCCACCCTGCTCCTCCACACTCTTCAGGACTTATTGTCCATTCACTTCCTCCAGAAATCCTCCAGCCCGAGTCAGGGCAGGGTGTCCCCTCTGACTGTCTCCCTGGTTTTCCCAAAGCCCTGAGCGGCAGGCCCTGACAGTCTATCAATGAGCAAAGGGAGGTTTGTCAGCTTCACTGTCAAGCAGGGCAACAGCAAGGAGACCCCGGGAGCATCTTAACGGACTGGGGGCCAGGGACAACCACAGGACCCATGGTCCAGGGACCCTGGGGGGAGGGGCCACATGCGGTATGGGGGGAAATTCAGAGACAGAGTCCTGCAGGACCTGAGCCTGGAGCAAGACAACAGTCACAGATGCCGCAGCTCTGGGCATAAAGAATGACTCTGGATGCTAGCAGCTCCAATGCACTTTATGTGTGAGGTTTCATGTCTCAGCTCAAGTTGGCCATGGCCAGACTCCAGTGACAGGCGCAAAAAACAAAAAGATGACTCCCAGCTACCAAAAAAAAAAGAGGACTGCCATGAACCGCCCCAACTCCCCAGAGACTAAAAATCATCTGTCAGGGGAAAGGAGGGTCCCAGACTTGTTGGCACGGGAGAATCAGGGCAGGCGGGACTGGCTAGAGTCTGGGCTGGGGCTGCTGCACCTGCAGGTCCCACAAGTTGATGAGGCGGTCGGCCTCCCTCCAGCCAGACAGCAGAGCCCCATGGGTTGTGGAGTAAAACGTCCGGTGTGTGGCTTCCCCCGCAAACAGTACCTGGAGCTGCAAAGAAGGGCCAGGGTTAGAACAGGGATGGGATCTAGTAGCAGAGTCTGAGCACAGAAACACAGAAACTTGAGCCCCACACACTGGTTCACACACACACCTACCACAGGCAGGACAAGAAACCGCTGCGCTCCAAGAGCTCAGGTGTGAACAGCACTTAGAGAAAGCAAGGTCATGTCAATACTGAATAGTAATCTTGCTAAGATTACTATTACACATGGGCGGGGGGGGGGAGGTGGAGAGACTTGAGCGGTAGGGCAGGCAGAGGAGTGGAAGAAAGCTAAAACCTTGTCTGCCACATGATAATTCTATCAGTAGTGCCCCAGACTCAGGAGGATCACGGGAGCCCAGCGGGTCCAGGCTACAGTGAGCCACAATAACGACAGCATTCCAGCCTGGGCTACAGAGCAAGACCCTATTTCTTTTCTTTCTTTATTTTTTTTTAACAATAGCCAAGCATTTTATTTTTCTCCATTTCACTGGTAAATCTCATAACGTTAAAAAGAACTATGTAATTAAGACCCTATTTCTAAAAATAAAATTTTTAACTCAAATCTATAAAAAAAAACTGTAATGCCTAAAACTGAAAATTCAAAAAGTAGCGTTTCCAAGCAGGCAAACTGAAAAGAGATCATAAGATGATTGGAGCCAGGCGTGGTGGCTTACACCTGTAATCCCAGCACTTTGGGAGGCAGAGACAGAGGACTGCCTGAGCTCAGGGGTTCGTGAGACCCGCCTGGGCAACTTGACAAGACCTCATCTCTACAAGTCAAAAAATTAGCCAGGTGTGGTAGCACACACCTGTAGTTCCAGCTACTTGGAAGGCTGAGGTGGAAGGATAGCCCAGTAGGTAGAGGCTGCGGTGGCTGTGAGTATGCCAGTGCATTCCAGCCTGGGCAACAGAGTGAGACTCAAGCTCAAAAAATAAAGTAAGATGATTGGAAAACTGAACGCTGACTGAATGTTGGATGATAGAGAGGAATTATTGTTCATTTTTAAGTGGGGAAACACTATCACGGTTACGTATTTATAAAAGGAATATTTATCTTTTAGCGATACAAACCCAAGTAGCTGCAGATGGAGGTGCAGGCCTGACACTAACAGGGAGGCCTGGCTGCGGTGACAGCAGGGGGAGCCAAGTGGGACCCCTGAGGTGATATCTGCTTTTGCCCACCTTGGAAATTTTCCACAACTAAATGTTTTTTTAAAGTGGCAGCATCAACATGCTTGTAGAGATACGGTAAATTTAGTGATAAGACTGGGCCAGCAGCATGGTCTGGGAAGGGCCAAATGGGCGCTGTTTTTGTTCTGTTTTCTTTTGATAGCCAGCCCTATAGAATCCTCGGACTCTTCATGCTGTGTGGACATAAAGTGTGCTTTGTGCACACTTCCGAGGAAAATAATACAGTTCAACATGATTCTTACTTTCCGAAAGAAAATGGCGTCTGAATCTGGGGGTCCCAGCCCACCCTTCACTCTCACTCCCACAGCTCTGGGCCTTCAAGGGGCCTCGGCCTCAGAACCCATGTACCCCTACCCCCGCCCACCCCACCCCAGAGGCCCCATACCTGGGCACTGGCGCCCTCTGCAGGCAGGGGCTGAGCTAGCAGGTCCAGGTCATCGCCGGTGCTGCCCACCGCCACGTAGCTGTAGGAGCCCCGGGTATACGGGGCGCTGTGCCAGCGGGTCCTCAGCACGCTCCGGGGCGCAGGGAGCCGCGGGTTTCCTGAGCCACAGAGACGCGGGGTGTGAAGCCGGAGCTCCCACCACACATCTGCAGTCGGCTGTCGTCTTAAAGCATGAGGCTCCACTCGGGAAGAAAGCAGAGCAGTAAAAGGCCCTCCCTGTCGTGGCTGGTCTGTCGACTCCGAGCAGAGGACAGCAGGCCATGCGGGCAGGCGCCCCCACCCCACACCAGGTGGCTGGCTCCTGCTCAGCCCCTGGGGCTTGGGTGCCCTTGACAGGACCGCTCTACCTTTTCTGAGCCGTGACTACCTCCTCTGAAAATCTGATTAAGGACAACTATGCTTGTTTTGGTGGCAGACGACAGGGAAAAGAAGTAGAAAGGGTCTGTAAAGCATTTCAGTTCCTCAGAGATAAGAGCTGTTACTGACCCCTCTCATATGAGGAAGAAGAACAGAGCCAAACTTAGTTCTTCTCTGTTCTGGAAAGTTTAGTTCCTGCCTAGAGGTCAGCCAACACCAAGCACGAGGCAGTCACTTTGCCGTGTGTAGTACCTGTGATTCTCCGGAGCACTTGGGTTAAAGACCGAAGCACTTCTTCATCTGACAGAGTCTCCATAAACTCAGATTCGAGCCCAGCAATGAATCCACAGAGAACATGGACAGACCTGCATGGAGAGAAAGACCACTGAGAGAGCCACACCCAGTCACATACTCCGTCCCTGTCCGTCTCTCAGCAATGAATCAATGACACCCACACAGAGAGCAGGCCCTCTTCCCTCAGAGGGAGGTCTGGGTGTGGCCACAAATTTCTGGGGGTACCAAGACCCTGTCAGGGCCCCTGGAGGGGAGAACCACCTTCATAACAATAAGAGCATTTGCTGCTTCCCCTGCATCAACAGTCACACAAGAGCAAGGCAGGTAAACTGTCCCTTAGCAGAACCCAGGCAGCAGAACACCCTGCTGTCAGGCATAGTGTTCACCACCATGCACACACGGTACAAAGATGCTGCTCCCTTGTGAGAATGTCCTTGATGAAGCAGTAAAGTTATTAATGTTATTAAATCTTTTTTTTTTTTTTTTTGAGTAGGAGTCTCACTCTGTTGCCCAAGCTAGAATGCAGTGGCAAGCTCATGGCCACCACAGCCTTGGCCTGCTGGACTCAGGTGATCTTTCGGCCTCAGGTTTTCAAGTAGCTGGAACCACAGACGTCCGCCACCACATCCAACTAATTTTTGGATTTATTGTAGAGACGAGGTCATGCCAAGTTGTCCAGGCTGGTCTCAAACCCCTGGACTCAGGCAATCCTCTCGCCTCCACCTGCCAAAGTGCTGGGATTACAGGCGTGAGCCACCATGCCCAGCTAATGTTAGTAAATCTTGACCATGGAGTACACGTCTTTTTGATCATCTGTGTGAAGAAGTGGGAAGTAGGTATAAAGCATTTCTGCTGCCTGTGGCACATGGTTGCGGAGGACATGCTGGAGCAACACTGGAGTCACTAGGGGCTTCCTCCACAGACAAACTGAGAACAACTCAGACCAACTGTGGACTTCCAGGCTGGGGTATCTGGCAGACATTTTCTCAAAAGTGGGCAAAGTGTACCTGTCACAGGAAAATAACTAACAAACAATATTTATTGATGGTGATAAAATTTAAACTCTCAAGCAAAAAATATGATTTCAGAAAACTTGGCAATGTGCAGTGGCTCATTTCTGTAATCACAGTGCTTTGGGAGGCCAAGGCAGGAGGATTGCTTGAGGCCAGGAGTTTAAGATCAGCCTGGGCAACTTAATGAGACCTCATCTGTATAAAAAAAAAAAAAAAAGAGAGCCGGGCTCGGTGGCTCAGCCTGTAATCCCGCGCCTTTGGGAGGCTGAGGTGAGCAGATTGCCTGAGCCCGCGGGTTCGAGACCCGCCTGGGCAGCGAGACCTCATCTCTACAATAAATCAAAAAATCAGCCGGGCGTGGTAGCGCATGCCTGTAATTCCGGCTACTCAGAAGGCTGAGGCGGGAGGATCGCCGGAGCCCAGCTGTCGAGGCTGCGTGTCCGGGAGCGGCCACTGCACTCCAGTCTGGGCCACCAAGTGAGACTCC